CCGGGCATTGTAAAGGGTCAATATCACTGCGTAAAAAAAAAAAATGACAAGGCTTAAGGAAAAAAAAAAAAAAGCTACACAATTTGATAGAAGAGTAGCCAGATATATTTTTGTTTTTGTATAGAAAGCTATCAAATGAAATGTCTTTCTCAAGAATGCCCACTCCTTAGTTTATGTGTTACAAATCCTATGGAAGGCCAACAGTTCTCACCTCCCTAGCCTTCCACAAATACTTGCCAGTAATGACCCACAAACCTCATTTGAAAAGTGCTTCTCATTCCAGTCCTATTCTCAGAAAATATGCTTAACAACAACAAAAAAAAAAGAAAGAAAAAAAGAGCACCAAATAAGATGTAAACAATGAAACTAGATCTTCTATGTGTCTTGAGGACATTGCTGATCACGTCTCTCCACAATTTCCTGACCTTTATAGCTTTTAATAAATTTCCTCTTTTTGTTATCTCTCCTAATTCCTGTTCTGCTAACCATTTACACAATCTTGTTAAGTAGGTTATACATTTTTTTTCCTCTGTCTCTCTTGCCTTCAATCTGTTTTGTGAGTATCAAATTTTCCAAGCACTCTTTCCACATTCATAGGAATTTCAACTGCCTCTTCCTGACGTTAAGTATGAGTGTCCTTTGTAACAGTGGATTAAAGCATTGTTTCATGAATTTGGTGATACAGTAATTGTAAGTTCAATCCCTGGGCTGGGCAGTATGAACTTGGACTCTGTAGAAAACGGACACGCAATAATTGAGCAGTTCTAAAAATAAGAACTAGATGTGATATCCTTAGAGATGGGTAGTGGAACGTGAACAGTCTACTCTGTCAATTAAATAGGGGGTTCAGATTGGAATTCCCTGTCCATTTACTCCTGTCTCAATAGTAAGTCTGATCAGTTTGATAAGATCAAATTTGCAGCTGATTTAAAAAATGACCTACTGTCTGTTGTTAACTGGGGCAAGGAATGGCTTGTTAGTTTAAATCCATCCAAAACTAAGCTTCTCTCTATCAATCAACTGAAAGACCTCTTCCTGCATCCCATCAGCATGGCTGATAGTAATCACCAGAGGAGTGACACATTGTGCCTTCCCAGCAGTGGGAAGAGTATATTGAATCCATTGCTAAGAAAGTTGGTTCACTGCATTGTGCTAGGCAATTTTTCCGCTCCTGAATCTATCTTACATCTATGCTTTGAATATTGCTGCCACATATTGTCTGGTGCTCCTGCTATATATTTACAGATTCTTTATAAAATCCAAAGGAGAATTGGCAATATTATTGGTCTTGATGTGGCATCTTGGCTTCAGTCACTTTCCAACCACCATAATGTAGCTTCCCTATGCCTTTTCTATAAATACTTTCATGGTAATTGTTTGGATGAACTCTTCACCACGGTAACTTGACTTTTTGAATTTAAGCGCAGTGCAAGTTTGGCAGCAAGTTCTCATCAATTCACAGTTCTAAGTTCTATGCTAACAGTTTCTTTTTCTCATGTTTCTCACTTATCAAAATCTTTTGGTTCCATGCTTTCCAAACAAATTTGATCTTCAAAAATTAAAAGAAATGTCAATCGTCATCCTCTGTTTTCTTGATTCTTCTTCTTTTATTGTTCTCACTCCTTAGCAAGAACACTAAAAGAGTTATTCCTCAGTGTTACCCCTTGTGTTTTAGTGGCTTTACTGCCTTGAATGGGTTGATATGATTAAAAAAAGAAAAAAAGGAGTACCCAGATTGACAAGGGTACAATGGCCGAAATGTTGGGGTAGCAACAAGAAAGATGAGGATAATAGTCTGCATGTAAATAAAACCAACATGTATAATAAATCCTAATGCGTTCCTCTGTAGATTTAAAGAGCTGAAGCTAAATTCACTGAGATTAGCTGTTTGACTATTGGCCAATTTCAAAAGGACAAGAATAGTTACAGAACTCTTCTATGTGTAGGGAGAGATAAAGTTTGCATGAAAAATGGGATCTGCAAGTGGAGTTCAAATTTCAACAGAAACTTGTTATGTTGACTTTGCATTAATGTTCTTGGGAAAACCATGAAAAAAACTCCTGAGTCTTTTCTTCAACAGATAACTTAGAGGGGGCTGATGGCTGATAGAGAACAACGGTCAAACCACTCTCACATAGCTATCTTAATTTTTCAGGCAATAGTAACAACAAACTGTCACTCAACAAGACCCAAGGATATATATATATATATATATGTAATATGTATTTTAATAGATAAAAGGTATTGAGTTAACCATTTTCTTTTAATTGTTTAAAATGTTTGTGGTCATGTATATTGGCTTGAGAAGGGATTATTTCTTTTAAGAAACAAAATATCTTGAAAATCTTGGACATAAGTTAACATTTTGGGAAGAACTGATAGCTGCACTCTCAAGAACTTTCCATCTAAGTTATTTTGACTTTTAATAAGTGTAGAATTCTTGAAATTTAAGTTGCAGTTGAACTTGTTTCTGTATGTAACCAATGAATTTGATAAATTGTTATGCATGAATATATATATATATATATATATATATATATATATATATACCTGCTTCAGAAATATTATTGTTATAGACATTTTTGGTGCTGAAGCAGGTACATATATACATACATATATGTGTGTGTGTGTATATATATTTGTATCTATAAAAAGAATGCATAAACATAAAAATGTCTTAAAATAATTGTCGGACTGTGTCCATTTCATAATGTGTGACGTCATTTGTTTACATTTGGATCCGGTTTGAGCAGATATGAATGTACGTGAGAGATTCATAGAAGATTGAAGTCTAAAGGCAGTAAATTCAACCTTACTAACCGAACGCTCCTCTCTGGCCGAAACGGTTAAAGGCACGTCAGGTTATATATATATATAAAATCTGTCACAAGTGAGTGTCAATTACAATACTCACAACTTTCTAATTTCTAAAGATAATGGTTAACCCTAGACTTGAAACATTTAAATACGTCAACCATCATTTTCTGTCTTTTTGAATCCTGTTTTATTGCCCTTTCTTCTCAATAACATTTTCTTGTGCTCTTACATTCTCATTAATTCCTTGTGTCTTAGTGGCATTATCACCTTGCTTGGGGTGAAATGATTAAAAACAACAAAAAAGAAAAACAAACTTAGGATTGCTTCTGAAAAACAGCCCATACTATAATTGGTTAAAGGCTTCATTCTTGTATTTGTTGTTTATCACAAGCCACTAAAAATATTTATGCAAAAGGAAATTACAGTTCACCTATTCCAAAGGAAGTTAGTAAGCACTCCTATATGCATCAATCTACGTGAATATTTGATATATTTCAAAAGACCACATTTCTAATATTAACTGATTTATTTTCGCAAAAGTAATTTGACTAGTGCAGAAAAGCAGAACTTCTCAAAAATTCACAAAATATTCCAACTTAAAATGATTCATTTTCAATATCACACTTTTTGCTCATGGAACTCTCTTCTGAATTCTTGCTTTCCAGCCAACTTTGATCTTCAAAAATATAAGTGCAATGTCAATTGTTATCTTCTGTCTTCTTAATTCTTGTTCTTTTATTCTTCTCTCCCCTTAATAGTATTTATCGCTCTTAGTAACCCCTCTGTGGCTTTATTGCATTGCTTGGGCTAAAATGATTGAAAATAAAAATATCTATTTAACACTTTAATATAGTAGAGAATAAGAAAATATTAATAAATGTATTGAAAATTCTTGATGTATTCCCTTCTTTTCATATTCAATATTTGTATACCAAAGTATCTGGAGCCTGATGCTATTGCAGTATGAATTTGGGGCAATATTTAACATTCATCCCCACAAAAGAATAATTGTTTAATATTCTTTTTGTAAATTCTCAAGAACAAAAAAAAGTATAAATTCACTTTCATCATATGTTTAGGCTCCATTATAATTCTAATCATTGCTTTTTAAAACAATAAACATTGCTGAGGAGTGAAGGTAGTTGAATACTAGTGATGTGAAAGGGGGGGAAAAAAATCATACTTTTGACACTATTTTTTGGCAGGAATAAAAACTAAATGAATAAAGACAAAAGAGAACTTCTTTACCAATGTGTTTCACTCCTTCAGGAACTTTACCAAATGTAGGGATTTTATTTTACAACATGTATTCATAAACAGAGATAAAAATTACCAAATTTTTTTTTTTTTTTAAATCTCTTGGAATTATTATTTTGAATAATTTACATGCTATGATACATATGCAATACATTTACTCAAAATTGTGCTTTTTATTTTCTTCAATCAACAGAAGAAATATCAGAAGATTTTTTTATTTTTATTTTTACAATGATGTTCACCCTGTACAAGATTCATTAGCCATTCAAAGTAGAGGGTTACAGAGAAAGGGGTAAAGTTTATGCAGATATATGTGGATGATAATGGTTAAGCCTAGATGAACAGGTTAAGATTGTAGTGATCAGGGAAGCATCCTCTTTGGAGTCAGTTCCACAGAGCAGCAATTCATGAGAAAAAGTTGCTTGAATTGAACTTACATCTTACTAATGGATTACAAAGAGAATGACGGTAGTTTGCTACAATGTGCATGGAATGGTCTCATCTGTGAAGTTTACAAATGGTGGAATTAAGGGATGTAATTTGTTTGAACACTTTCCAAGGAAACAGCGATGGAGCAGTTAGAGGCTTATTCAATAAAAAGTAGATGAAGAAACATGGAAATTATATTTACAAAACAACACATGCACAGAGTAAGCAACAACTCTGTAGCAAGATAAGCTGTTGTCTGCTTTAATCAATTAGTAAACAAAGATGGAAGAAGTTATTCTACATATACTCATAGGCAGAAAGCCATAGAATTTACAAACTGGACTCTATTCAAAGTAACAAGCTGTCCACTTGTTGGACAGTGTCCTTTGTAGGCTTTCACAAAAGAATGATGAAATAATTCTCAAGTTTAAAATAGAACAGAAAACGAAACAAAAAAAAAAAAACTTCCCCATTGACTTCTTTGGAAGTGTTTATAC